GCTTGCTTTGGCCACAGAAGGGAATATTAATAATTCGTTATTGGATTAGCAACTTTATAGATCAACCTCATATGCAGTAACTGTGTTTCTACCTCTCACCATTAAATTAGCCCCCATAAACACAAGGTTAAAAAAAAAAAAAAAGCTATAGTCAGGTGTTGAAACCAGTGATTTGTTTGAGTAGAGTCATGACAGATGAAATGGTCATTGGAGGGATGCCTGGGTGGCTCAGTGGTTGAGCATCTGCCTTTGGCCCAGGGCGTGATCCTGGAGTCCCAGGATCGAGTCCCACATTGGGATCCCTGTATGGAGCCTGCTTCTCCCTGGGCCTATGTCTCTGCCTCTCTGTGTGTCTCTCATGAATAAATAAAATATTTTTTAAAAAAGAAATGGATTATGTGTTGGTGGATTGGTTATACCTCTGTTTCTGTATCTTAGCAGCAACAACAAAAAGCCCCAAACATTCCATAATTGGAATGTGACTGGCTTGATTTACATCTTAAGATGGGAAGAGTATCAAATTACTAGAGAAAGATGATTATAGTCTGTGTTAAAAAAATAAAATATTAAGTAATGTATCGACTACAGTGCCACAATGCAATGCTGACACTAACCACCCAGAGTCAGAGCCCACCCCATGGGTGTGACGCAGAATCCCAACAACACTGCTCTCATGTCCAGTGGCAGCTGCAAGTTTAGGGGCCTCTAGGTTACTTGCACTTCTGACCAACTGGCTACAGATTCAAAGGTACTCCTGTGACCTCCTTCAGGTTCAATAATTTACTAGAATGACTCACAAAACTCAGGAAAGTGCTATACTCATTATTACAATTGTATTCTAAAGGATGCAAATCAAGACGGTAAGTGAGGAGACACATGATGTGAAGTTCCAACACAGAGATTCTGTGCCTTCTCCCTGTGGAATCAGGTTGGGTCATCCCCACAGCACATGGATATGCTCAGCAACCAGGATGCTCACCAGAGGTTCAGTGTTGAGTTTTCACTGGGATCTCATTACATAGGTATGATTCATTGAACCATGTGAATGAACTCAATCTCCATTCCCTCTTCCCTACCCAGAGGTAGGGAGTCAGGCTGATTTCACGTGGCTCAAAGCCACAATCCTCTAAACACATGGTTGGTCTTGCCATCATGACCAATCCCCAACCAGGTCATCTCCTTAGCATAAACTCAGGTAAGGTCCAATGGTCCCTCATGAATAAGAAAGACATTTACTCTTACCATTCAGGAATTTCCAGTGGTTTGAAAGCTCTATCTCAGGAACCCAGAACAAGGATGAGACAAATACTCTATTACATGATATTTAAGAGATAACATTACATATCAAATTTTGTAGGATATTGTTAACGCTGTATTCAAAGCCTTAAATGCTTTTCTTTTTTATAAAAGTAAATGAAGGATGCCTGGGTGGCTCAGTTGGTTAAATGTCTGCCTTCACCTCAGGTCACGGATCCCAGGATTTAGCCCCACATGAAGCCCCACATCCTGCTCCCGCTGAGCAGGGAGCCTGCTTCTCCCTCTTCCTCTGCCTGTTGCTCCCACTGCTTGTGTTGTCTCTCTGTGTCAAATAAATGAACAAAATCTTTAAGAAATGAAATAAAAAACTTATTTAAAGAACTTAGAAAAAATAAGGTAATCTTAGTAAATAACAGGATAAAGAAATGACAAGAGGAGATAAGTAGAAAATTTTAACAGAGTAAAACATCAAACAAATGAGTCTGAAAAACAGCAACAATGCAGAACAAACTTCCAGTAGTTTTGTTTTGTTTTTTATTCATGAGAGATACAGTGAGAGAGAGGCAGAGACATAGAGGAGAAGCAGGCTCCTCGAAGGGAGCTGGATGTGGGACTTGATCCTGGATCCCGGGATCATGACCTGAGCGGAAGGCAACTGCCCAACCGCTGAGTCACTGAGGCATCCCTCCAGTAGTTTTAATCAAGAAGAAAGAATATCCATCCGAACTGAAATAGAAATAAAACGTGGGGTATAAAAACAGATACAGGAAATTTTAAAATTGTTAACACATGCTCTGTAGAGCTCAACTGAAAAATACACAGATGTGTGGATTTTTTTTTCATTAAAGTATAGTGATACAATATTAACATTAGTTTCAGGTATAAAACATAGTGATTTGACAATTACATACATTACAAAATACCAAGATTAAGTGTAGTTCCTATCTGTTATGATACAAAATTAATACAGTATTATTGACTTTATTCCCCATGCTGGACTTTTCTTCCCTGTGAGTTATTTTATAACTAGAAATGCACAGTTCTTAATCCCCTTTACCTCTTTTAATTCATCCTCCCTCCCCTCTGCTCTGGCAGCCACCTATTTGTTCTCTGTTTTTATGAGTCTGTTTTTTGCTTGTGTTTTGTATTTTAGATTCCACAGATAAGTGAGATTATATGATGTTTGTCTTTATCTGACTTATTTCACTTAGCATAATACTCTCTAGTTCCATGCATGACCTATGGCTAAGATGTTTGTACACACCACATCTTTATTCATTTATTTATCAATGGACACGAGTTGCTTCCATATCTTGATTATAAATAATGCTGCAATAAACACAGGGGTGCATATATCTTTTTTTTTTTTGTCTTTTTTTATTGGAGTTCGATTTGCCAACATGTAGTATAACACCCAATGCTCATCCCATATATCTTTTTAAATTGTTTTCTTTTACTCCAGGTAAATACCCAGAAGTGGAATTACTGAATTGTATGATACTTCCATTTTTAACTTTCAAGGAACTTCCATACTGTTTTTTCATAGTGGCTGTACCAATTTACATTCCATCCACAGTGCACAAGCGTTCCTTTTTCTCTTCATCCTTCCCAACACTTGTTTTTTTGATACCAGCTATTCTGACTGGTATGAGGTGATATATCATTTTGGTTTTGATTTGCATTTCCCTGATGATTAAGTGATGTTGAGTATCTTTTCATGTGTCTTTTGGCCATCTGTGTGTCTTATTTGGAAAAAGGTCTATTTAGGTACTCTGCCCATTTTAAATTGAATTATTTATTTTTTGGTGTTGAGTTGTGTGAGTTCTTTATGTATTTTGGATATTAACCCTTTGTTGGATATAATTTGCAAATATCTTCTCCCATTCAATAGGCTTTTGTTGAAATGTATGATTTCTGTAGAAAATATTAAATTATCAAAAATTGCTATAAGAAGATCTTTTTTTAAAAAAGTTTATTTTTTAAAAGTAATCTCCACACCCAACATGGGGCTCAAACTTACAACTCTTAGATCAAGAGTTGCATGCTGGGATGCCTGGGTGGCTTGAGCATCTGCCTTTGGCTCAGGGCATGATCCCAGTCCGGGATTGAGTCCCGCATCAGGCCCCCTGTGAGGAGCCTGCTTCTCCCTCTGCCTATGTCTCTGCCTCTCTCTCTGTCTCTCTCATGAATAAATAAATATAATCTTTTTAAAAAAAGAGTTGCATGCTCTACTGACTGAGCCAGCCAGGCACCCCGAGAAGATGCTAATATCTGAGTAGACTAATATGCATAGAGAAAGCTTTAGAAATTATTCAGAGTTGCCTCTCAAAAATAACTCTGGACCTGGAGAGTTTCATGAGTGAATTCCCTCAAACCTCCAATAATTCATATGCCATATACATAGTAGATTTAATATTTGCAAGACTAACAACAGTGACATTAAATCCTGTCAAAGGTAGAGGATAACATAAAGGAATGAGATATATAAACCAATTGTTTTTAAAGATTTTATTTATTTATTCATGAGAAACAATGAGAGAGAGACAGAGACACAGGCAGAGGGAGAAGCAGGCCCCATGCAAGGAGCCCGATGTGGGACTCGATCCCGGATGCCGGGATAATGCCCTGAGCCTAAGGCAGATGCCCAACCGCTGAGCCACCCAGGTGTCCCTCTAAACCAATTTTACCTAAGAAAATAGATGTGGGAACATTAAACAAGTTACTAACAAAATGAATTTAATAGGATATTAAAAGAATAAAATTTAGCTTTCAGTTTGATCAGTATGAAAAACTAGATTCTTTGAAGGTCCCTCCAATCCACAACAACAGAACCTGTCTGTGTGGAGGCCGAGAAAAATCAAGGCCATTCCACCCCAAGTTCAGCGTTAGCACAAGTACAGCCATCCCAGGCCCCTGGGAGTAAGAGCTGAACTTTACCTTACTTCACTTACAGGAAGAAAACAGCTTACAGCTTAACGTCCTAGAAAGCCCCATATTAGAACAAGAACAGAGCCCAAGCCAAGGGCAAGAAGCCCCTTCTATTATTAGAATTATTATTATTACTATTCTATTAGAATAAGAACAGAGCTCAATGCCCTTGAAAGCCCCATATCAAAATGTAAACAGAACTTGAGAAATTCCTCCACCCCTTCTGGAGGTCCCCTAGACCAGCCTATAAAAAACTAAGCTGAAACCCACCTCGGAGTCCAAGTGTCGGGTGTACTTGGACCCAAGCTCCAGCTTGTAAATAAACCCTCGTGTGCTTGCATCGGTTTGGCTCCTCGGTGGTTTCTCGGATTCGCAATCTTGGGCACAACATTTGGGGGCTCGTCTGGGATCCGAGAGCCCTCCAGAACCCCATCCGGAGGGTTTCACGCGTGGTGAGTGCACTCAATTTTTTCCACCTTTTGCGCTCATATTCTCTGCGAGCTCTACCTGTAGGAATTCCAATCTGTATTGGGTCCGCATTGGCTTAGGTGGACGTGCTGGCGGGCCATCGACTGGAGGTCTTTTTTTTTTTTTTTTTTTTTAGATTTTTATTTCATTTTATTTTATTTTATTTATTTATTCAGAGAGAGAGAGAGAGGCAGAGACACAGGCAGAGGGAGAAATAGGCACCATACAGAGAGCCTGATGTGGGACTTGATCCAGGGTCTCCAGGATCACGCCCTGGGCTGCAGGCGGCGTTAAACCGCTGCGCCACTGGGGCTGCCGTCGACTGGGGGTCTTGAGGAGACGTCCCTTGCCCCCACTGGGAGGACAGGGTCCTCATCTGTAAGGAGGACGGAGGTCCTTATGTAAGGAGGGCTGGCTGCCAGCCCTCCGGGTTGCTTTTTGTTTTGTCTCCGTGGCCACACTGGAATGTTTGTCTGTTACTGTGTTCTTGTTAACTGTGTGTTTGTGTTGTTAACTGTCATAACTGTGCCTTGGTGTGGACGGGGGACATAATGGGGCAAATGCAAACCACACCCTTGTCTCTTATGCTCTCCCACTTCTCGGATGTTAGGGAAAGAGCTCGTATTCTGAGCATAGACATACGGAGAGAGAGACTCCAAATTTATTGCATATCAGAATGGCCAACCCTTGACGTGGGATGGCCCTGAGAAGGAACTTTTTACCTACCTATAATCTTACAGGTTAAGGCTGTGATCTTCAGAAACAAACCGGACGGCCACCGTGACCAGGTGCCCTACATCCTGGTCTGGCAGGACATGATTGAGAATTCCCCTCCTTGGGTAAAACCATTTTTGCTCCCCAAAGCGCACAATGGCTAAAGGTAAGGAGAGACTGGGTCCACCGCCAGACCCTAGGGGCAGGTCTCTAGGCTGCCGCGCGCAAGCCTACCAATCTGGCCAAGGTATGGTTATGTAAGACAGGGTAAGGACGAGAGTCCAGCAGCCTTCTTAGAGAGAATACTAGGAGAGAAGAGCTTGCAGGACTTATAGTAGCAGAAAGAGTCAATAATAATAAAGTCCAGAAGAGCAACAAAGCAAAGTAAGTGACTGGCAGACCCGAAACCTGGCCAGGATCCTGCTGGCCACAACCATGGACGACCCACAGGAAAGACCGAGGCACCTCAAGAAGCTGGCTTCAGGGACAGGTAAGGAGGATGACCCTGGTCCTTGTCGGGAGTGCCCTAAGCTGAACAAAACCCAATGTGCTTATTGCAAAGAAGAGGGCCATTGGGTGAAAGACTGTCTTAACAAAAGACCTAAGGCCCCTGCCAAGATCTTGGAGATGGAGGACCTGGACGACTAGGGGAGTCAGGGTTCGGCACCCCTCCCCGAGCCCAGGGTAAGTCTCAGAGTGGAGGGGCAACCTGTTGAATTCCTAGTGGACACTGGGGCACAACATTCGTTTTTTATTACAACCCCAAGGGAAAATGGCAAACAAGACTTCATGGGTGCAAGGGGCCATGGGTACCAAACAGTACTCATGGACTACCCGAGGAACTGTGGATCTCAGCATGGGCCGAGTATCCCACTCCTTCATGGTCATCCCTGAGTGTCCCTACCCGTTGTTAGGTTGGGATTTGCTCACCAAGATGGGGGCACAAATTTGTTTCCACCCCGAAGGGGCAAAAATCCTAAACAATCCTATTCAGGTGCTTGTCCTGAGTTTAGAAGACGAATATCGTCTCTATCGTCTCCACCAAACGTCCTCAGCCCCAATGACTGACATTGACCGTTGGCTGCAGGAATTCCCCAAGCATGGGCAGAAACTGGGCCGGCACCGACTGGCCATATACATAGAACTAAAGCCGGGGGCAGATGCTGTCAGGGTCCGCCAATACCCCATGCCTCTCGTAGTGCATAGGGGAATCACACCCCACATACGGCTACTACTGGACTCGGGCATATTGAGGCCTTGCCAATCGGCACGGAACACTACCTTGCTGCCGGTTCGGAAACCACACTCTAACGATTACAGGACAGTCCAGGACTTAAGGGAAGTCAACCAGCGAGTAGAGGATATACACCCTACGGTCCTAAACCCATACACCCTCTTCTATTTAAAAGATGCCTTTTTCAGCCTGCCTTTAGCACCCAAGAGCCAAGACCTCTTCACCTTTGAATGGATGGACCCTGAGAAGCATCAATGGCCAGCTCACCTGGACTTGACTACCACAAGGATTCAAAAATTCACTGACCATCTTCGATGAGGCCTTACATGAAGACTTGGGTGAGTTCCATTCCGAGCACCCTCATTTGATATCCTGTTGGTGGCGGAGGACCAGGACGCATGCTTGCAAAGCACCAGGGACTTGATACAAACCATAGTGGCTCTAGGATACTGGGCCTCAGCTATAAAAGCCCAGATCTGCAGAGCAGAGGTGAGCAACCTTGGGTACAAATTAAAGGATGGACAAAGATGGTTGATGGATGCACGGAAGGAAACCGTCGTAAGGATCCCACAGCCACAAACTGTCCCCCGGGATGGACAGAGGCCTTTCCCACCAAACATGCAGCACAGACCGTGACCAAGAAACTGCTGAAAGACATCTTACCGAGGTATGGCTTTCCTGTTAAGACTGGATCAGACAACGGCCCAGGATTCGTCTCTAAGGTAACACGGGGAGTGGCACTAGTACTTGGGGCAGATTGGAAATTACATTGTTCATATCCCAAAGCTCAGGACAGGTAGAGAGGATGAACAGAACATTAAAGGAGACTTAACTAAATTAGCCCTGAAGACTGGCGGGGACTGGTTGACTCTCCTCCCCTTTGCCCTATATAGGGTGAGGAACTCCCCATATAAGATGGGACTGACTCCCTACAAGGCCATGTTCGGTATTCCTCCACCTATTATCCCCAATTTAGCAGCAGGTCTCCAAGGTGAACAGCCTCTGGCATGTTGGAATGTGAAGAAGGGTTCCATGTGAACAGCAGTTGAACATGGGTCAGTTGGTCCTGAGAGATGGGCGAGCGCCATTCTGAAGGGACGGGGGATGGCCTCCGTTGCCCTCAGCCAATCGGAAGGGAGTCGGGTTCAGATCCCCGAATCTGGAGTGGTGGAGATGGGCGCCTAGGCGTCCAGTGCGGTAATGCAACCGATCCTGGAGAAGCTGGCAGGAGCCCCAGGGAGAGTTCTCTTTCCTTTGTGAAGGGCAGGGCGCCCTGGAATGGGCTTGCCCGAGAGAGGGCCCGTGCCTTGGAAGCCTCACGGTTCCGGCGGCATCCGGTGAGCTCTCGCTGGCCCTTGAGAATCCGGGGGAGGGGGTGTAAATCTCGCGCCGGGCGGTACCCATATCCAAACCTGAGGTGCTTGCTGAGTTTGATTACCAACTTCTTTTCTCCCTCCAAATGTCACAATGAACCCATGAGCAGGTGTGGCCTAAACTGAGGGCCCTCTACGAGACTGGGCCACCCCCCAGATCCCCATTGATACCGGCCAGGTGACTGGGTGTACGCGCGGAGATACCAACACCAGACACTTCAACCTCACTGGAAGGGACCCTACATCGTGATCCTGACCACTCCCACCACTCTCAAGGTTGCCGGGATTACTCCCTGGGTCCACTACACCCACATCCGGCCAGCTGATCCACAGGCTGTTCTCAAGGACTTTGTTCCAGAATGGAAAAGCCAACCAGACAAGGACAATCCCCTAAAGCTAAGACTGTGCTGTTCTCACTTACCCCACTAATGTTGCTTCCCCGTTAGCCATTTAAAAATGTGCACCCAATTCAGCCTTGCTTTTAAAGTCTTTTAAGGGTTAAAAAAATGGGAGCATCTTAACTGTAGAGAGGCTTTTGCAGGCGGGGGGGCGGGGGGTGCGGGGTGCGGTTATGTGTTGCCCCAAATGAGGAGTGTTGCTTCTTTACTGACAACTCAGGAATAGTCTGGGAATCTATGGCAAAAGTCAGAAAAGGTTTGGCTAGACGTAAACAGGAGCGAGAACAGCAACAAGGTTGGTTTGAATCATGATTTAATCATTCCCACTGGCTCACTCTGAGACCAGCCTGGACCCATGATTGGGTCCTTCCTTAGGTTCCTCTGAGAGGGGGAAATGTGGAGGCCAAGAAAAATCCAGGCCATTCCACCTCAAGTTTAGCGTTAACACAAGTACAGCCATCCCAGGCCCCTGGGAATAAGAGCTGAACTTTACCTTACTTCACATACAGGAAGAAAACAGCTTACAGCTTAACAACCTAGAAAGCCCCATATTAGAACAAGAACAGAGCCCAAGCCAAGGGCAAGAAGCCCCTATTAGAATAACAGAGCTCAATGCCCTTGAAAGCCCCATATCAAAATGTAAACAGAACTTGAGAAATTCCTCCACCCCTTCTGGAGGTCCCCTAGACCAGCCTATAAAAAACTAAGCTGAAACCCATCTCAGGGTCCAAGTCCTTGCTCCGCTGTGTAGGGTATACTTGGACCCAAGCTCGAGCTTGTAAATAAACCCTCGTGTGCTTGCATCGGTGTTGGGCTCCTTGGTGGTTTCTCGGATTCGCAATCTTGAGCACAACACCTGAAATATACTGATTGCTAACGTACAAGACATAATAGAAATCTCCAAGACATGTTGGAGGTGGTGAGGGCAGGACTCTAACAGGAAGTGAGGGCCCTAAGCATTCACAGGTGCAGGGAATGGTTAAGCCAACATCACTTGTCCATTCAAGTATTTATTTAAGAAATATTTAAGGGGTACTTACTGTTTGCTGGGCTCTTTTCTAGAAACACACACTATAAAGTTTATGTGGAAGGAGTGTTCTTTATGAACAGTGAGACCAGTATGGCTGAAGAGGAGTGAGAAAAATAATAATATACAATGACCTCTCTGCTTTTTCCAATATGATGAATTAAATGGAGATATATTGAGGACACCAAAATTTGGAAAAATAATAATTAGAATCATAGAATGAAAATGAGAATAATAATTAGAATTAGAAATTGCAATGAAGCCAAGGAAACAGGGCTACTTATTGTAGGGAGAGCTCCTTGCTCTTCTCCAATTTTCTCCTTAGTTTGCGTGTAGTCCCTCTGAAGCACGTCTTCCTTCAGGCTGATCAAAAGTCTGAGTGGTTGGGTTGGCTGTAATTGCATTTAGGAAAGGAAAGGGGATCCCTGGGTGGCACAGCGGTTTAGTGCCTGCCTTTGGCCCAGGGCGCGATCCTGGAGACCCAGGATCGAATCCCACATCGGGCTCCTGGTGCATGGAGCCTGCTTCTCCCTCTGCCTATGTCTCTACCTCTCTCTCTCTCTCTCTCTCTGTCTCTCTGTGACTATCGTAAAAAAAAAAAAAAAAAGGAAAGGAAAGGGGCACCTGGGGGGGCTCAGTGTGAAGCATCTGCCTTTGGCTCAGGTCATGATTTCAGGGTCTTGGGATCCAGCCCCACGTTGGGCTCCCTGCTCAGTAGGGAGCCTGCTTCGACCTCTTCCCCTTCCCGTTTGTGCTCTCTCTCTCATTCTCTCTCAAGTAAAGATAGAATTGGAAAAAAAGGGAAGGAATGGAGCAAATGTCACATCACCACCAGCACATACATCCTGTCCTGAATCATGAAGCTTAAAAACCGAGTTGAAAAACATGCCCAGGTAGGCACTCACACACGTACAAAGGTGGAAACCTCCGTCTGAAGGCTGGTTGATGACTCCAAAGATATTCTTGGTGTACTTACAGGTATGTTGGAGACACCATTAGTCTCAGGGGTTTTAGAGACCTGTTCCTTATAGATTTGTTGAACTATATTGGACATCTGAAATTCATCTAACACTATATATTAACCATACTGAGATTAAAAAAAGAAAAAAAGCACAAGGACGTTTCTCAAAAGTTATTAGTCATGGCTTGATCCTGCCCTGACATAAGCTGTAAACAGCATTATCCATCCTCCCTGATGCATGAGTGATTTGAACACATCACATTACCAGTGACCTTCTGAGTCCCAGTCTACCGACCCCCTGGCATTGTAAGGTGGCCTGCGAGATGCCACTGAGCTTGACGACTCCACAAAAAGGCCATTTTCTCAAGACACCGTCAGGTGAGGAATTCTTCAAAGACTCAGTCGTCCACAGGCTTGCTTTCTACATATGTCCAACCTCCTCTCCTCATACTTTCCAAACTTCCTCCCATCTTAGAACCCGCTAAATGAAGAGTTCCCCCGAATCTAGCTCTAGGGAGCAAGGGGGGGGAGTGGCCAGCTTCTGCTCACTTGCTCTGAAAAGTGGGGGGGGGGGGCATCCCTCGGGGCTGCGTCCCGGCCTGTGTGAGGGAGGAAAGTTTGTAACTGTGAAGTTATTCAAGACAAGGTCCTGGGGTGTTGGAACAGGATATGCTGAAGTCTGACTCTTGATCCTCCTCCCAGAGAGTTCTGAACAAAAGAATAATTCCTGTTTCATTCAGATGCCCTGATTCAGGTCAGGGAGGGGGCAGTAAGAGATGAGGGTGGAGGGAACATTCTTGGTAATCTGAGTATTTGGCTGATTGGTAACTGTTTACAGCTTGTTTCTTTCTAGTGCATACCCCTTGAAATCATTTTCTTTGTAAATGTTAAAAGCCATATGGAAAAAAAAAAACAACCTTGATTACTCTTCATTGTATTTCAATCAGCAGCATGTCAGCCTCTGAATAAACTATAATTCCTTCATGTCTGTTGAGGAGAACATTTAGACCACATTTAAAAAAAATACCTTGGTAGGGGTCTCAGGAACAATTAGCAATTAAAATAATCTATTTTCTACACTTCTGTATCAACAGGCCGCTTGATTGAAGTCAGCGTCTCAGGTACAGCTTTGCTCTGGAGCCTCATCCTCCCCAATTCCGAGCTGCTGGAATCACTGGAAGTGCCTTAAGTGTTCCCAAATTTATAAATGAGTCATTAATTTTGGAATCGAACTTGATGCCTTTTCCAGAGAATATGCTTCCAGGGGTCACCAGTACTCCCCTCAAATCTCCACTGCGAGGGACTAAAGAAGACACCTGGCCAGGGCAGAAGCCACCAGAAGACCTGCTGCACCTGTGCCCTCCCCTACCCCCCTTCCCCCCCAGGCACGGCCTGCGCTTTGCCTAAAGATGCTACTCTGCTGGGATTATTTCCAGAGCAAGAGATGCCCAGCACCATGAAAAGTGCTTTTCTACAGATAAAAGAGAATGAAAAGTTACTGGGTCCAACAGCAGAGAGACTAAACTGAATCCCAGAAAGACTGAACTAGTTGGTGACCGCCCTGGCATGCAAGGTTCCCGAACCTCATACCAGTTTCTCTCTCCTCCCCTGGGTGGTCTTTATGGGTGGGAATTGGGTTAGGCGGTTTCTGTCTTGGAAAAGCAAGGTGTTAACTTTGCACAGCAGTTCGGGCGTGATCCTGATTTCAGGCGGAGGAATAGACTTGAGGACTCCTCAAGGCCACAGTCTGGCCCAAGAGTCTGAGAACTCCAGAAAATGGGGCAGGGTCCATACAAGTGGGTGGCCATCCCGCACTGCCTCATTCCCCGCCCTCCACAACCTGCCCGGAGACCGGACACGGAAGCTTACAGGAGCTGGGCCAGAACTTGTATGAGGTGGGAAAGGCACCACCTCACTGCTCAGGAGGCACCCATGCTGACACCTCTACCAGCAGCTGAGGCTGAGATTCTGCAGCCCAAGTGCCTCTGTTGCCTCGCCCTTGTCCCCGCAAGTACTCCAACAGGGGTAGGAACAGGGGACGAAAATGGCAAGAGGCAGAGATTGATATTGAGAAGAGTCCGCAAGACAAGGTGCAGCAGAGAAGGAACATCCCCAACAGGAACCCAGCCATTGCACCTGGGCCCGAGTCTGAGTCAGGAATGAAAGGGAGGGTCCCCTTGTAGAGCCACTTGGGTGACCATTTCCACCGTGCCTAAGACGTTCACCATCCCTAGAGCCTAGGCCAAGCTGTCTTTTCAGGGTCAGAACAATGACTGCAAGGGCAGAACCACTCCCTGGAGCCTCTTCCCTGGGGTCAAGGACCCTTGAGCCATCTAGAAGCAGGCAGGACTGGACAGCCTGAGAGTCCCCAAGTGCCAGGACATGTCGGGATATGGTTATACCATAACCCTCTACAAAATGTCTTCAGTGGGTGGGTGAAGCCTAGACTAAACGAAGTTCAGCGACACTTCCAGAATGTCTGAGCTAAGCATCGCAGTGCTTTGCCATGAACAGCAAGCCCCCAGAGCTCAGGGACGCCCCCCCCCCCCAGCCATCACCGATCAGTATGCACTTAACAAAAGTGGCTCAGGCTCATTCTAAATAAAACAAACAGGCTGATAGTTTATGAGGCAGAATAACCAAATTGATGAAAATGATAGTAAAAAAAGCACTAAACAGTAAAAAAAAATCCACCTTTTATAAGCCCTTTTCACTTCTATGATGTTTTTAAAATGTAGGAGTGCTTGCATGAGAATTGTAATATTTATGAGTCCTAGGACTATTTCATGAATTCATGTAATTTTTTAGAAAATTGTTTCCAAAGTGGGGCATTTTTTCATTGCAATCAGTATGCTTCCTCTGCTTGCTTAACAATGCTTTCTGTGAATTTAAAATTTCCTCTTTGGTGCTAAGTAAATCTCTGAAAGAATGTTGATCAAAAATTAATCTTTCATATCACTAGTATTTTTATCATTGTGTGTACACTCCAGGACTGTTTGTGTTGAAATGTATCTTCTTCAAGTAATATTGTCCACTGTCTCCGTTACTTTGCTTTTTTAGATTGATACATGTTAATTTTCAGTGAGGAATTCCTGCTTTACTGTTATAAAGAAGAGACAGCTAATTGTGTGCTGTGCCTGCCAGCGAGAAGAGAGGTCAAGCCCACGGGAGGAGATGTCTTGGGCTCAGCCAACGCTGGTGGTGTAACTCCTGTTCTTGTACCTGCCTTCATTGTTCTTTGATGCACACCAGAGTATTTGCTTTATAAGCAGAGGACCCTCAGGCTGCCTCAGCTCTCCTTCTGGCCCCTGGATGGGGTGTCAACCATCCAAGGAAGGAGCCCTTTTCGTGAACATCTCTATACACTCCAAACAAGGATCTAAAGCCAGAAGCCAACTGAGCTCTTCAGGAGATACTTAGGGAGAGTGGCACGAGGACAGGGGCAGAGGGAGGGAGATGGGATAGCATGGTGCTGGCGCAGCCGTGTTCCCAGCCTCTACGGATGTCCTAGCCCTGTCCTGCTACCTCCAGGGACAGTGGCCTGGTGTGGTCAGTACTGATGTTCTCGGAGCAGCCAGCGTCTACCCAGCAGGGATGCATCAAGGTTGTCACCAGGGACCCTCACACCAGCAGGAGTTGCACAGCTGGGCAGAGAGGGGCCAGCAACCAGCTCTGGTGACTGAAGCTAACAGACTGGTTAGTGTTGCCTTCAAGGGCCCCTTTGGAGACTCCTCCAAATAACGGGAGACATAAGGATTGCTATGTTTAGGGAACCTTAAGTTATTGTAATCTGGGCATTAAAAATGAATGGGG